CTATTTGTAATTTTCTAATACTCACTCTTAGTTCATATATTATTTATTTAATATTAATTTATTAATCCGTTTACTAGTAATAATCGTCGATAATATGAAACACCATAAGAGTAAGGAATGCAACGAATAATTGTATCAATAATACTGATAGTATGGGTGATCTGTTGGCACTGTTTTCCATAAAACTTTTCACTAAAAATATATATAATATTAATGAGAATTTGTGTCACATTTTCGAGACAAACAACAAAAATTAAGACAAATTTTATATTTCAAGTGAATATTAAATCGCTTCACAGCCTATGAATAATAAATTAAAGTTTTTTGTAGTAAATAAATATTAATAAACAAAAAACAAAAAATAAATATTTTTTCCTAAAACTCTCTCTCTCTCTCTCGCTCTCTCTCTCTCTCTCTCTCGATTCACTAACTCCTGACTCTATCTCCGCAACACTTTTGAAATGAGTTTTCAAATCAAAAAATTCAATTCCGGAAAGATATGAATATTTTAGAAATAATTTTCGCATAAATCTCATAAAAAGAGGAAAAATAAACAAAATTTAAACGAAATATATGTTTGATAGGGGGAAACGGGTGTCTCCAACAAACACATACCAGCGCCGACTGTATTATCAGAGATGGGTTCGACAGCACTGGGAATATTAAGTGTCTCTTTGCCGGTGGTTAGCACTTGGGTTAGACTCTCCACACACTTTAAATTCACAACAATTTTATTTGATTTACTAGTCTTTGACGGTTTAATAGCCGTTTGCAAACTATAGTGCAATCGCAATGTGGTCTGTGAATAGCCGTCGCCATAGTATATGGGTTTCTCGCGGGTCAGGTACTTGGGGTCCACTTCTTGTTTGTTGATAAACCACTTGAGTTCTGGCATTGGTTTATATCGGGACGACACGCACGACACGTTCACCACATCCGACGCCCCGTACGACACCTTCAGACCGGAGATTGTCGGCTCCGACGAGTCCTCCGGAGTTTGATTGTCTTCGTCTATCGGCTTATCTGTTAATATGATTTCAAAAAACGGATTTAATTAATGTCTTCGAGAAATGCGACAATTTTGATAGAAATATATAAGTGTCACAACTATTACAAAATGATAATAAACACAACTATTCACTTAAATTATATACGAAAATGATTTATATATTCATAAGAGATAAGAATTTTGAGCACAAAAGTGATGATAAGTATTGCAATATAACAGCTATAATGACATATCAATTATGATTCACTCGCATTATAAGCTACTTTCACAGTAAAACTGCTTAAATTACAGAATATTCCTTAACCAATGCACTCGCTATTATGGCGCCGGAATATATGCATTAAACTAAATGATCATAAAATTAGATCAAAAAATATTATAGAGTGAAAAAAATGTGCGGAAATTCTTCATAAAAAGGCGTCTAATCTATGAATGAATTCCTAATGAATATGATGGAGAAAGTTATTATTTTTTTGTGTATCAAATTCTGTGCAAATTGTATTTCGATAATAAGCCCTTAAATCTCTTTTTAACACACAATCAAAAAATATATAGCAACGAGAAGTCAATGAAAATTTATGTTCACTTAAGCCGGATATGAGACCACAAAACACTTCCGAAATATTGTACCCAAAAAAAGAGTTTTTATCAAATCTTAAGGCAAACTATTTATCATTTTAATTGAGATGTTATATAAGAATAGACAACAAAATCAATTTATGACTTCCACTGTTTCTTTTATAGACTCCGTTTTGTGCAAAAATGTTCAGTACATTGAATGCCATAAAAACATTTCTATTATTAATGTAATCGTTTAATTGATTTTTTGCTCATCTAATTAAAAATCTTTTCTCCCCATCACTTACACCACACAAACACAATAGTCTGTGAAAAATCTTATTAATAATTGCTTTTTGAAAATGAAAGAGTATTATACAATAACACCCGCTATTGTACTGCGAGAGCACAAGAATTTTGATTTAAATATTATGTTAACTAAAAAGTTTGTAGTAAAACCTTATATAAAAATATTTTGTTAGTTAAATGCTAGTTGTTTGTATTAAAACGAAAAATTCTTTAACTAATATTAAATAAGTCATTTTCTAGTGAATAGATTCTTAACTTAAAACAGTGAATAGAAATTTGTTAATAAAAATTTCAAATGAATAGTTCAGTCAAAACAACATTTCATTAACGGGGAAAGGACTCAAATTAATTCACTGTACAGTGTACAATTTATATAATATCAATATTGTAAATATGCTTCAGAATGTATCAAGTAATAAATTAGCATAAGTAGCATAATATGTGAAATTCAATTATTGCCTGGCAAAGCATTTAATCTAGATAATATAAATTTATTATAATGCATATACTATGCATACTATGAAAAGAGATACCGTATTTTACTTGGGATCATAATATAAATAAATAAAAAAAATAAATACTTTATAAAAATATATTTTATACAAAATACCATAGCACAGTATAGTACAGTATATCTTATATAATATACAACGTTATACTGAACAGTAATATTTATCGTATAATTTGCTCCTAAAGGCCATTGAAATGTTTGAAATTCCTGTGAAATTATTTTTATAGCAGAATAGACTAGGAGTTCAAAATGAATGCCTATATATTGATGGGTACAGTAGTGGAAAAACAGTAGAGAATATACAGTATGGTTAACTCACTGTTTCGTATTGTTATATAAAATACTTATTTTAGCCCAAAATTAAGTCACTATTGGATGACTACTCCCTTTAATTCATTTTGACAAAACTTAATGAGTTTTTATCATTTGGTTATTTGGATATCCAGTGAACTTCCACTCGAGTGCATCATTTGAATCCCTAAATGCACTCCACCTTTACTTTTAGATTAAATGTATTTCACAAATACATTGATATTTATCTACAAAACCCCTAAAACTTATTTTTCCCATTGTGTTATGCGCTCTAATAGTACTGTATATGATATCCAATGTTAACCAATGCTTTTAAATACAAATACAATAAATAGACCAATAAGTCAGGGAAGGGCTACTACGAGAGAGTGGAGGGACTATCGGGAAAACATACCCCAAAAGCGTATAAACTTTTTCTAATGAGTATTGCAAACAATATTTCACAAATTGTTTGACTGAATAACTTTCTACCGAAAAACACATACTCTCCCTCCCCCTCCCTCTAAGGTATTCACTTGTTTTCTAATTACGGGATTTAATGGTGACTAAAGCCAACCCCTGGGCTGTCAATACCGTATTTTCCATCAAAATGTAAACTAATTTTGATGTTTTAACTCAATTCACACTAAACTTAATTTAAGATTATTTCTAATTGACTTGAATTTTTTGTCTGTTTGTTTGCACGCATTTCCCTTCAATGGGTTTTCGTTGAGACAAAATAATTGTCTCAAAAAGTTTTTTGTCTTTTATTGAATCTCCCATTTTTAATGACAAAATTGTCTCTCAAATAATTTATATTACTTATAGTCGAAAAGTTTTCATCTCATTATAAGCGCTTATATTAGAAGAGAGAATACATAAGCATTAAAGTGAATGAAAATTCAGTCATTTTATGGCAATTTTCTTGTTGTTACTACTCTTGAAGGCAATCAATTTTATGCAAACAATTCTGTTGTGATTTTTATGCCTCGAAATGATTTCTTAACAAAAATAAATATTATTAAAATTTTTATATCTTTAAAAGTCTCCCTTAATATAATTCTATATATAAAAACATTTGTAATATAAGAAAAGTGTGTGTTTTTAAAGACAAAACACTATATTATTGCGATTATAATAAGAAATTGTATACACCAATCGCATTATCAAAATGCGAGTGAAATATAAAAAAGCAAATAAGATATAAAATAAATAAATTTCTATCAAAAGTAATCTAAATGTAAATTAAAGTTTTGATTCATTTATACATAATCATATAAAACATATAATAAAGAGAAACGCGTTTTCTTTAAGTATAAAATAAAATCAAAACTAAAAAATGAAAAGAAAAATAAATCAAAACTTATAATACATGGAAAGACACATAAATATAAGACTGATATAACGAAACAAAAGTAAAACAAAAAGTGAATATAAAAATCAAAAATGTTTGCCAAAAATACAAAACCAAATGAGATCTCAAACAAGAAAACTTATAAAACAAATACAAAAACATACCGTCAGTATAAAAAATATTGAGATCGGCGTCGTTATGTTCGTCGCTATTGTGGTGCAAATGTTGCGGATTTTTATGTCGGGTCCAGAGGTTGACTTCTGTGGACCGGTTGTGCCGGTGAGTGATCGTCGAGTGGCACTCGAAGGGCAACCGATGGGTCAGGTATTTGGTGCTGAACTGGATGTTGATGGACGACGAGCTCAGGTTGTTCTCGTACTTCTGGTAATAGATCCGGTGCTGAAACCTGTTGTCCGTCGAGTGGTCGTCGCCGCCGATTGGGGTGCCGTTGATGGTGGCCGACAGTTGGGCCGGGGGTAGGGACAGGGGGGACGTACACGTGAGGTTCACCATATCGTTGAGCGTGTAGTGAGACTTCTTGCCAATTATCACCGGATTTGGGTCTTTAGGTATGACTATCGGGTAAAAGATACACATAAAAAGTCATTATAAGTAACATTTTAATTCTAATTATTTGCACTACAATTATGGCTAAAATAAAATATGTAAATTAATTGTCGTAATAAAACTTTTTGTGTAGTAATATTTTTTATGCTAATGGTATGCAAACTTATTTGAATTATTTGTGTGTCAATTGTTTGGTAGTTTATCGAGAGTACGTGCCATTGATGTGAAATTAATGTAATTTTAATTCATTTTATAATTAAAAACAATTAATCTTTAAGTGAGAAAAATCAATGCATTAAATGAATTGCATTTTATGTGTTTTAGGTTACTATAAAACTATATATAAACATTTATTTCGCAAACTATAAAACTTCTAATCACTATATTTTAGAAATTTAATCAATTCTCGAGTAATCAATACGAATGTGTGTTCATTTACTTTATAAAAACATTTCATTTAGGTATAGTATGAAATAGTTTTCAACATTTTTATGGCAAATGTTAATATAAAAGATAATTTGAGAGAAAGCAAATTTATTATAAAACTATTTTAGAAAACATTTTAAAATGCATTCTCAACTGTATTTTGTAGGCAAAGTCGATATAATCAACTGATTGAGCGATTATTGACTTAAATTCTTGTCAGTCATTCGCATATGAAAGTACAGTATGTGTTGTGCTATTATAAAAATGGTTTTATACAGTATAATTTTATATTCAATATTATAAATATACTATAAGTTATGAAAAATTTCTATACACTTTTATGTGTATATGAATATAATATGAAAAATATTTTGCTGCAAAACATTGCTTTCATGTGTAATATTATGATTGAAGAGTAGTTCAGATCATTATTTAATGTAAAGTCAAACTCGAAGTGAGAGAATAAGAAAGAAAGGGAGTCTCGGATCGGATGAGTGAGTGAGCGTACGAGAGAGAGAGAGAGAGCGAGAGAAAGAGAGCAAAGAATTCTCGTGAGTATATGTGGAAATAGAATCGAGTAAATGAGGTACCGGTTGTTTACTGGCAACAACTACTTGTGCTGGCAGTACAGTATAGACACATACACTATGCTATACAGTACACCAACCACTCTATATTCTATGTACTCTATGTTCTCTCTTATTCTCCAAAGCATTAAATTTTATTACAAAAACTCTATGCAAAAGAAGCAAAACTTTCGGATCAATCTATATATTGTTTAACTGCACCGCCAACGGGTCCACACAAATAGACATAACATCACAAAAAACAACATTATTCACTAAAAATTAAATAAAATGGTGTTCAGTTATTAAAAGGGAATCAATATTCTAATTACACTAAATTATATATATTTTTAAAATAATAACTTTATAAGTTCTACATAAATTTTGGGTATAATAAAAGTCAATGAAAGTAAAATGCAAATAATAATAAATACTTGGCGTTCCCTATATCTTAAACTTTTAGACTTTTATCTATAATTTTGGATATTGAATGAGTTTATTCCCGGAACCTATTTTTAGAATATTTTTAGATATATTAGGTTTTTCTGGAAACGAAAGGTTTAAATGAATTTTAAAAACAACTCTTTTTACGCGATTTATCTCACGATCAACGCAAAAATTTTGCTTAGCATTTGTGATTAAAATTGTTTAATAAATTATTTACAATAGAAACAAAAAATCCAAAATATACATTAAATGTATCAAAACTCTCTCTCTCTCTCTCTCTCTCTCTCTCTCTTCTCTCTTATTCTCCAAAGCATTAAATTTTATTACAAAAACTCTATGCAAAAGAAGCAAAACTTTTGGATCAANGGTACCTCATTTACTCGATTCTATTTCCACATATACTCACGAGAATTCTTTGCTCTCTCTCTCTCTCTCTCTCTCTCAAGAATTGATTTCTTATGCAAAGGAAATATATTTTTCAACAAAAAAAGTTGTTATTTTTGGCCTAAAAGTAACAATAAATGGAAACAAATATGTGTATAAAAAACTTAAGTTCTCTTAATATATCACTTTCTGGAAAGACATGCTTTAGTTGTGTGTAAAAAATGAGCGCTCGGTTTGGCTCAAAGGCATACACTAACAGAATAGCAGAATATTCTGCAATATATTCATTCGTTATTTACTTCGGGTTTTATGTATACAAAAACAGCAGCGAAAGAAAAATTGACAAAAACTATACCCAAATCTATTGATTCGTATTTTTATTTATAAACTCCTAATATATGTTTTCTGAATTATTCGTAGTTTTGGATTTAAATTTGAATTTAAAGGATAATTTTACAGACATATATAAAAATGAATTAAATATTATTTTTCCATAATCTTGAAAATTAAGGTAATGTATGGCTTATGTAAAAGAGCTCTCTCTCTCTCTCTCTCTCTCGCTCTTCTCTCTCTCCAAAGTCTGGATTTTTCTTTGCATAAGGTTTTTAAAATAAATACAAAATAAAAATACATTTTATAAATCGATATAAAAGTTATGAGTATTAGATTTTATTCGTAATATATCTGCAATTCTATATAGGAATCGAAAATCTCCGGAATATATGAAAATAAATGGCTTTTGGGGCATTTTTTTCTATACCTTAAAATGAAAAATAAAATGTTTTCATAAAAATTTGATTTCAAATAAAAATATCTATTTATTTGTACAGAAATCTATTTATTTCTAATAAGAATGGAAAAAATGTTGAGAAATATTTGAAAATATTTAATGCATTACTTATAACTCCAATAAACAGACTATTCTCTGCGAATACAAAACAAAATATAGTTGTCTAATAAAAATATAATCAACGAAAAAAAGTTATATTGAATTCAATATATAAAAACCCTCTGAAGACAATTGATTTGGTGAACAGACGTAGAGTTTTCAGTGCAATAGCTGTGCACTCAATATCTCTCAATATTGAAACTTAACTCTAAATCACTTGAATCGGTATTAAGAGATAACCGGACATTCATTTGATGTAAATCTACTGATATTTATAGAGTTATATATAAAAAAAAGTAGTTTTAGTTAATCCAACGAAAAAGACACAAAAAGTTTATATTCTCGCAAACAATTGGCCACTTTTAGTGATATTTATCTAATATTCACAAAACGACTCATACATAAAGAACATATGAATTAATGGATGAGAAGCGATGGGATTAACTGCAAGGGATATGTAGGGAAAGGATGAAATTGTCGGTGCAATAGATAATCCATGAGGAATATGGGCCTACAGTATGAATGCCATCACAATGGAGTGACACAAAAGATACAAAGTATAAGAAAAATCAAAATATATATTAAACTAAAAAACGAAAGAAAAAGTTTGAGAGACTTTTCTCATTGCTGTGGATATCAAAGGGATATATTATATAATAGCTGTAAGTATTAGATTATTATTAGAATAAGAATTACTTTTTCGCGGATCCCATAGAGAAATATAATATACTTTTCATTATATTTTTCTTGTGCTTTCATATAATGAAGAATAAAATGAAATATATTTTAGATTTTTGTATCAAACTTTAACTGTAATTATTTTCTAAGAAAATATAGTATTTAAGTTAAACAATGAGAAGTTTAGTCGCCTTTGAGCTAATGATTAATGAATTAGAAAATTGAAATTAATAATAATTTTGTGCTAAAAACTAGTCTTTTATTTTATATTTAATAATTACTGAATAATTTAAATGATACTAAAATTCATTTTTTTCGTTTGAAAATATGTGATATATTTGACCAAAAAACATATCAAAGCTTTTATAAATTATAATATTAGTAAAAATAAAACTTCATACAAACTAGTTTATAATTAAAATATTAAATATTAATCACTTTTTGATTGGGTAACATACTTATTCAAATAACATATTTTTACATATAGCATTATATTAAAAACTTGTAATCCTATTACAAGATAAGTCTAAAATATAAAATAATATATAATAATAACAGTAATTACTAGAGATTACAAATAATGTCTTAAAAATGTTTAAATCAACATTATTTCAAATATAGAGCAAAAGGCATTATTTGACATTAAAATAAAACCTTAAATACAGAACATACACATTATAAATAATATCATATAATATGCAAAACAATAAATTATGAATTGGATGTCAAACCCTAAAAAATATTGAATGTAAAGAACAAAAAATTTAATATTCAATCCATAAATATTAGATGAAATTCATGGATCATATTTTCAATCATATTATCTAATGTTATATAATGAGAGGTTACGTCACTCGTCGACCAAAACTTTTTTCAACCGATAATACATTGTCTCGATTTGATTAGTGGTGTGTTTTTGGGCCCAAAAGCAAAATTGAAAACTTAGTTATAAGGATAT